GAGGACCAAAAGTGTATTATCTTGACTGAGGGAAGCTGGAATTCAGAAAAAGGAAGAATGAGAAGAGAGAGGGTAGTAGGAGGCAGGTCTAGGAAAGCTGGAAGCCACAGAAGGTCATGCATACAGAGCTGACTGGATTGAACAGCCAAGGCAAGAGGATATGTGAACTAGAAAAACACCAGAGAACTAAGGGCCAGGATAATAGTGGAAAAACTTATGACATATCCACATGTTGTAGAGGACATTTAGTCTCAAGCTCTTATTTAGCTACATAGGGATGTTCAGAATGAGAACAGCAGAAAAGAACTCCAGAAAGAATTTTGTTTGTGCACTGCATGACAGGTTGACATAAATGAAGAAGACAAAGAAGAAAGGATTTCTTATTCTTTCTTTTAAGACAATAATTAAGGATATGAAATCAAGTCATATTTGACTTCGCTTAAATTTTAAAGCAAACAAATACTCCTTCACAAGCGACATGTAAATAATCTGTATAGTATCATTGCTTCAAGACATTGCTAAGACCAAAAGCATTCATGAATTTAAAAATCTAGTAGAAAACTGCATGCACAAAAGCCCACTGGAGCTTATTAAACATGAAGACATACATTCTACTTCCAGTTTTTTGTTCCTAATCCCACAGGTTACCAGAAATAAATATAGTCTGCCTAGGGAGCACTACCACTTTATGTTTGTCCTGCTACAGAGTTTCATGATGCTCTCTTGACTGCCACAAATGGAGTGTCAGACTAAGCACGTTTTTGATCTCCCCCGTCCAGACTGACTTCCATTCTTACATCAGTGAAAAGAGAAATTATAGATACCATGAGGAAGGAAAACAGAGATGGCATTATATTATGTCCAATCTCCCAGGAAGAAGAGCACCACAGCATTCTACAGAACATAATAAGTGAATTTAATTTTAGTCCCAAGTAAACATGCAATCTAATTGATTAAGAATTAATGGTAATTTTTCTTTTGTGTTTGCTCCTGTAAGTGACAAGGCAGCGATATTAAATTTAAAACAATTTAAAAAACAAACCAAAAAAAACTCAAAAAAAACCCCAAAAGCTGTAAAATAAAGGAAAAAAAAATACCAAGCCTTTCTGCTGTTTTCAAGCATCTTGCTCTTTACCTGTATGTATGTTTGCATTCTATCTCACTTTAAGTATGTGTGGGTGCTACGTCAAGCAGTACCAAAGCTGGGCACTTGAGGGCAATACTGTAACTTAATTTCCACCATGCTCGGCTCTAAGCCAGACTGCCACGTCATATTAATAGATGGATTTCCTGTAAAGATGAGGGTCCAGTTTTACTTGCGTGTATGCTAAGTAGAAAAAAAAATTTCTTTACTCAAGTTTCCAAATGCTTAGTGCACAAAGAGAGTTTCAGTTATAGTGATTCACACCACAGCAAACTTAACAGCAAACTGCTTTAATAAATTATACTTACTGCGCTTCACAACTAGAAAATTACTTAAGAACAGAGTTTCATCTGAGCACATCAAGGGTTATGCAAGAACACCAGTCAAGGAACTCAAGTCCAGGAGGCACCTGTCTATTTTGGATGAGCAAAAGGATGATGAGCCATAGCAGGGGCCATGGGAAGTTGCTGACAGCACAGAAGAGCCTCCTCTGATGATGCAGGATGTGGTACTTCTGTCTACAAAAGTGCATCCCTTCATAAAGCACTGGATCAGGCGGGGAAAGGTTAATGGCAGGGCAAAGGAAGAAGTTCACAGTGTGTTAAGCCTTGAAATAATTGATCATAAATTACTGATTTGCACACTGGCTTCTACAAAAGAAATAATTATTAGGGGTCAGCATTCTTCTTAATGAACATACATAATGTCAATTGACACAAAAGCAATTATTGAATACATTGACAGAGACTCTTCCTTTAACTGGTACAATATGCAAAATACAAAGACTCTATTTTATTAATAATTTTTCAGCACACAGATAGTCTAAATAAGCAGTTTCCAATCCTCCTCAAGAAATTGGGCTATTACACAAGCCTCGTATCTAAACATCTATGTGACAGAAAGCCATTCTCTCCTCTGCATCTCTTGCATCTTCCCATGCTGGGCCCAAATTTGGAACTGCATTTTTGTTACCCCTTGACTGCACACAAAATCCTCATGCCAGCTCAGGATTTACCTTCTTTTGCTTTCTGAAATGAAATACTAAAATATGTATAATCCAGAGAAAATCTGGCAGCTGGTGAGCAAAACACACTTGAACTCTTCCTGAACTGCCATTTCACCAATGCTTATTCAAGAAATTATTCTGAAGTCATGCCCCTATGACTATAAAAAGCAAATATGCATTGCAAAAAATAATTTACAATAGTTTACTATCAAAAAGGCAGTGGAGAATGCAGTATTCTTTTATGAAACTCCTGTTTTTTCTTTACACAGTTTCAATTATTGATATCATATAGCTACCCCATTTCCAGGGGTTTTTTAAATCTCTTTCATATATCCCACATTCTAGTAACTCCCAGCAACAATAAGTCATTGTTGTACATGGGAGACCAAATTTTAAACATACTTAACATACTGAATTTGTGATAGCATAACTAAGTTAACCACAAATGTGGATGAATTTCTCATTAAAACTGTTGTAATTATACTGGCATGAGAAAATACTTCCTGACCAGAGCTCTACAGACACTGAGGAGAACTCTAAATTATGGTACAACATTACTGAAAGCAGATAATCAAAATGATTCTCATCTCTGCATTAAAAAAACGAAATGAAACAAAACAAAACAAAACAAAACAAAACAAAACAAAACAAAACAAAACAAAACAAAACTCAGTCTGTTGTGAAAAAACTCTGGCAAATTTTTCCAGACCAGTCTCCCCTCTAGGCATGTTGAGTACCCAGTGAGTATTCTGTCAAGCAGTGGAAAAATAGGTCTTGAAGATTCTGTCTGTGTAGACTATTGACAGGTTGAAGCTTCAAAACGTGGCAATTTCCATCCTATACAATAGAGCTGAAAGGAACTTGAAGCTTAGGAGCTTTCAGGACCAGGCACCTTGGCTGGTACAAGCATGCATCGCTCCAGTGGCTACTTTGGGAGAGATGACTCTCCTGGCATTCTATGTCATGCTGGAAAGTGATGAAGGGCTCAATGAAGTTTTTGAGAAACTTGACAAAATCTCTTAACAAAGGATTTCAATGGCTGAATTTGCCTTTTCCCAAGTATTTTCTGGTGGGTGACCTGCCTATTCACTCTGCATCAAGCACAGACATGATTTTTCCAGCAGTGCTTCCTAGCCACTCTATGAATTCCCGGCGTCTCCCCTCTGGAAGCTCCCCACGTTCTTTACAGGGCACACTGTGGTGAGAGGCAGCCTTACACACCCCATTTTCCATAATTTTGTTAATTTGCATTTCAATGTCCACATCATTACAAATGTGCTTTCTTTCACAAATGGTGCCTATCTATTGTGTATTTTTCACAATTTTGATGAGTTTGTCTGAAGCTATGGGAAGGCATAATGCCGCAACAGCAGTAAACAGATTGGAACCACTGTAGATGCACTGCTACTTCCATCTATCATCTTTATTGCTTCTTCAGCTGCCAAAGTGCTCTGAAAATGGTGACTGGAACTCTGTTCAGCAGACTTCCCTCAGTGGGAATTGTTTTCCAGAGCCATATAACAATTACTAATGACTACTAGCCTTTAAAGTAGTCCCTACCTCAGCTGCAACAGTGATGCTGCCGTATATTGTGCTATTTTAATAAAAATAAACCAAAACTGAATACCGGGGCTTGAAAACAAGTGACCATTACTCTTCATAAATGTAAATGGAGGAAAATACATGCCAAAGTAATGTATCTCCATGGGCTTCCATAGCTTAAGATGGGGGGAAGAGAGAAGTAGATTCAGCTCACCTAATTTTGGCAATCCAGAATTTGGCATGTTCTCTAAGAATGTCATAGCCCATAGAAGGAAACAAACACTTTCACCAGGAAACTCATTCCCAAACTGGTGTCTAAATTAAGTGGGATGATTTGACCTCTAGAGGTGTCTGTTACTCCAATGACTAGAATTAGATAATGAGCTTTAAACTAGGCACTCCACTTAGCAAGAGCTAAAACTGTAGAACCAAATGGCTGATACCATCAACAGTCCTGACAGTGATACCACAGTGATATCAGACTGATCCAAAGCCATGACCTGTTCCTACCCCAAGAAGGCTACACGGCCAAAGCACACCCATCCTTTAAGAGCTGCTGCAGGAGTTCATGTGTGAAACCTCAAGAAATCACTGCCACATTTGGACCTTAATTCTTCAAAAGGGAAGAAGCAGCAGCACAACTGTAGCTTCTTCGTAAAGAGCTGATGTGTTACAAGCACAGTCCCTGCTAGAAGAAGAAAGGAATGGGAAGGCATATTTGCTGAGCAAGCAAGATGGAGAAGGGTATCTCCATGCACTTGGAGATGTCCAGAATTCATCTAAGGCACATACAAAATATCCTTCTTCATAAAATTGAGACCATGGGGGAACCACCCTATCCATGGTATACTTGTATACTTCCTTCCCCTTATATAGAAGTACCCTGACCCTCCTCTAGTCTGTTTTACTGAACTTAAAAAAGAAATCTAAACAAACTGTTTTAAATATTTACCTTCCCTTTTCACCACACTGTCAATATCCCAGCAAAAGTTGCTACTGCATGGCAGCACCCACACCGCTGTGCTTTAGAGAAAACTCTGACCTTGCAACTGCTGTCAAATGTGACCAATAAAAATGGGCTTGGACACCTGCAAATCCCAGGGCCCCAGTGCATGGGGCAATGCTTTTCTGCTTCATGAAGCAAACCCCTCTTTTTCTGAGAAATGAAAACTGTACATTAGAAGAATATTCACTGCAGGCTGTGGGCTGCTAATAAAGAAGGAATAAAAGATAAGAAAGATATTCTCTAGTTTTCTGTCTATGTACTTTGCCTGAAAGATGGAAAACTGAGGAAATTAAGTGTTTTACCTTTATGGTAAAATGCTTCCTCTTGGGTGGATGCCAGACAGTGGTGGTTGAATGGATGAATGCCCGCAGAGGTGTTAAGGATGTCACAAGCACATATGCTTTGATGATTACAGAAAAGTCCTGAGCTTTAAGGACACCCTTGTGGTCTGATGTTGATACTTGATTCCTGGGAAGTAATAAAAAATATGTAGCATTAATACAGTTCTTTTGTAAATGAGCTATAAGAAAATAGTGAAATAGGAAATTAGTAGAAATAGGAAATTAGCCCTTTTTCCCCCAAGTTATGCAATACAATGGGTTAAATCAAGTAGGCTGGAACAAAGCTTTACATCAAGTAATTTTACTGATTTCAGCATTTTTAACTCTTAGTTTCCAAACACGGGAAGCAACTAGATTTGGAGGGAGTGATGTTTGAGAATATATATAGGTAACTGCACTGTGGGAATAATTAAGCATTACAAATCCAGGCTATTCAGAGTGAATTATTAAATCAAGATTAAATTAAACACTAAAGAAAACCAATCATGTTAATTAATAGAAATGCATAGTGAAGGTACTCTATTTAATGCTGATTAGTAGTGAATTCAGAATAACATCCCCACCCAACCCTATGGTAAGACTGCACTATTGTTAGCCCTTTCTTCTGTAATAAAGGAACAGAAACATGTGGTGCTGCATACTTCCCCTCATGAAAGCCATATACAATCATTCCAAATATTATGAAAGACTAGGATACCTGGAAATAACCTATAACAAATCAGTTAAACCTAAGAATTCTGCAAGCAACTTTGTTTAAGAAGTTATGCAGCTCTCTAAAAAAATGATGCAGCTCTCTAAAAACTGGCCTACAGCTTCCATAGTGCACACAGTCAACCACAGAAAAAGAATAGAAAAAAAGCAAACCCAAGAAAAAAGCCCTGTCATTTAAAAGCTCATTACTTGGGGAAATCTGAGCTACACTTGTGCATATTCACAATGGCATTATTAATCTGTCTGTTAAAATCTCTGAGCATCACTTTACCTCATAGAAAATTCAATGGGAAGATGACTATAGAAATTATGGGTCTCCAAGACTGATTACTGGTAAAAGACAAGGGGCTCTTCTTCCATTTCTGTGTAATTTTTGGCAATATGTGGCCTTTCCAGACCTCAATTTTGTTATCTGTTAAGTAAGTCTAATAACATCTATCTTAAAGAGAAATTTTTCTCCCCTCTGCAGAATAGCAGATCCTCAGAACACAAAATTTGTGAAACAGTGTGATGTAGGAAACAGCACTTGATAACAGACAAATTATCAAGTACTTCTTGGTTCTTCACCTTAAGGGGGGATCTCTGTGCAAAGGACTACATATGTGTGTCTGTGGTAGGGGCAAAGCAGGGATAGGAGCAGGACAAATCTCAGCCACCACGAGACCTAAAGGTTCACGGGTGTCTCTGGGTCTGTATTTATTTGTCAAGGTGTTTCAATGCCTCAAGACTCAGACGCTTACAACCAAAACATGTGCAAACTTGGCTAATACAGAAAGAAACACTCTGCAAGTATGAGATGCAATACATCCAAGTGCAGAATACAGAAAGGAACATTCTGCAAGTATGAGATGCAATACATCCAAGTGCTCCATCTGCTGTGGTCTCCTCTTTTGCTGCATTCTGTGTCCTTGACTCCCAAATAACTTCGTGCTGAAGCACTGGCAGTTTCTGAGGGTGGGTCACCATTAACTTACAGCTTTGTGCTCATGCTCTGCTTCCACCAGTGCTGCAGATGGGAGGCACGTGCCTGCTCAGTGACTGCGCTGCCCTGGGACACATTTCGTGTGGTGCTGGCCCTTGGCAGTCCAGGCTGGCCAGAACAGTCTGGGGTCACAAGTGGGAGCTGCAGGTCTGAAAAAGTACCAGGGGGATGAGAAAGGAAGTCAGCAGAGCATTGAAAGCAGGGGTGGTCTCCTGCTGCTAAGGATTAAATTATAAAACACAACAGAGAAAAGCTACCAACATCAGATGAAAATGTACAATAACAAATGCTGAGACAATAAATATTTTTGGATCTGCTTCACCCCAACCAAGCACCCCCTTCCAGCTGCAAGCTGCAGCATGAAAGGCTTAGCTGCCACTCCCACTTCAGAGGCAAGTGCAGTACTACTGCATACAAAAAGCATCCCCTTTTTCCTTCTTAAAAAAACCTGAAATCCTTGATTTCCAAATATAGAATACCAAAAGTTGCTTCCTCATGGAGCACTAATTACAATTAATGGGGATAAGAAATCTCTTTCAATAAGGACCAAGGGACTTTGCTACTGTAATAACAAAGAACAGTAAATAAGCTCATATCCTTGTTTCTGTGTTCACCACTAAGGCTACAATTTGCAGGTACTGAAACCTAAGGGAGTCTTAGTTCTGCCACCAAACACAGTGGGAGCAGGACTGATATACAACAGTTCTTAGGCTTATTGAGGCATGTGACTATTAATAGTAATCAAAATATTGTGATGTGAGATCAGTCAAGGGGCGGCATGTATTTTCTGCTTTTACTGTGCTTGATAAAAAGGCACAAAGCCCTTATGTTGTGCCATTATTTCATGTAGAGTAGTATTCATTAATTCTAACACACCTCACAATTCAAGTTCTTAAAATGGTCAGGAAAAATCAAGCTGTTCAAATTATTCCCAAACCTTATTGCTTTTCTTTTTATTGACATACTGCATTGTGCTATGGTATGAATTTATTTGTAGAGCTTCTTTTCTAAATCATGCACTCTCAACCTTGGTACATGAAATGAAAAATAAAACTGAAGCTGTGTTCCTGGTGATGAGCTGTAAATAGACATTTAAAGAAAAAAACTATTCATCTACTCATTTTCCTATTAAATGTGATTATCTGTATTTATTGGCTGTTCATCAGATCAGCTCGGCTCAACCTTCCAGTCTCAGCTGGGATCTAGAATTAACCTGGTCCTCTGCCTTACATGCACCATTCAGCAGGATTAAAAAATAATCAAAACCAGGCAGTTATTTAATAAAGCACGTCATGCTCAAATGGTATCCACACTGACATCTTTCTGTTATGTTATGTATTACAACTGATTGGAACTCTGCAACTGACTACCTGGTTTTTGATGTACAGCGACAAAAGCAGACTGCTCTGCCTACCTGACTGTGTAGGGACTACAGGAGGAAGACAGTAAACTCTCATTAAGTAATTTATTTAGCAGACTTATTTCTGAATGTGTATAGGAACCAGAACTGCAAAATCAAGTTGTTTTTTTTCCATATCTGACTTGATGTAAAGACAAAAGGGCATTTTAGTATGGCAATTTCTACCCTGTAGATAGACAATGGCATTTCACCATGGTAATTAGCAATGGTTCCATGTAACTATTCCTATGCATCACTTTAGCCATTTAAAAGAAAGTAAACATTTTACTGAAAATAACAACATGGCAGAGAAGGGCTCTAGAGGTCATTACTCAATGACAAGTGTTTTTTCCTTTTAAAAACATGTTTCTAATTGTGTTGCTAAAACAACAAGTAACAACTCACAAGACAGAGATTGCAAATAATGAGATGAGGTTTCTGTACCTGTATTCATCCCTCTTAAATTAGAGTTTTAGCTGTTTCAGGGAATGAAAAAAGATTAGTTTGACATTAATTCATTTGTTACAATGCAGTGGACCATTTCCTGGAGCTGGATATACCAAATTAAAACAAGTGTGTAGGGAGAGATGAAAAACAAAACTTTTCTCAAATTCTCAAGCTACAGGGTAGAAGATCCTTAGCATTGCCCTAAGTCATTGCAAAATGCCTCAACTTAAAAAAAATAAAAAACCAAATAAACCCCAACCAGACTCCCCCTCAAAAAAACCCCAAACAAACAAAATCAACAACAACAAAAAACCAAAACAATAAAAAACCCACAAACAAACAAACAAAAAAAATCAGCTGCCATGTCTTAAGGAAAAGAAGGTTAAACAAACTTCAGAGTGCTGATGATTAGCATTGAAAACTAAAAAAGGGCAGTGCTCATAAATGATGCCTCCTTTATAGAGCATCCTGTTTGTATGGTGCCTTACATCCCTTTATTGGTTTTGTGTTGGCATTCCCCTGGGAGACAGCCCATCACACGGGGCTCTAAGAGGTGACACTGTCACCAGGTGCTCACTCCTTTGAGATGCCTCAGAGCACTTACACCATCAGGCAGAGTCAAGAGGGAGTGACAGTCCCTCACTTTGGTAAATCTACTCCTCATGATCAATGAACACAATTACCATAATAATAAAGAGACATCAGTAGTGCTGAACTGAGCACACTCAGCTGCATCAGTTCTCATGGCAACTCTTCACCTGCTCCTGCACTCAAAAGCAGTAACAGTGTTTATTAGAGCTGTGTATTTGTTAATCAACTTTATCATCAATGAAAATTAGCCTGCAGTGCCTTTACTGTTTGCAGTAATTGCCATGTTTTTCCATCTTGAAATCACTCTACAAGCTGTTGTTAATTAAGCAGTCCTCTTCAAGTCAGTAAACAACATCAACATTTTATAATGAAAGAGGTGAAGCATGCTCAGTGGTTGAGGTGTCAGGCACCTTGGAAAATCAAGTTAGAAAGAGTCCCAGCATCCTAATACCATGTCCAGACTACATTCCCTATTTCAAAAATCCAAATCTTATTATTTGTAATTTGTAAACAATAATTTTTGTAGTGGAGTCTAAAGAGCAAAGAAAAAAACAAAAGAAGATAATTTTTCTTTTTACAGTGGCTATGCATGAATGGAAATGTTACACAAAGTGCTTTTTTTCCTGAGGGCAACTGCAGGCTTTGCCACAAGTACTTTTTGCTGCTGACATTTTTGATGCTCCAGTGTAAAGTAAGGACCTATGGCTGGATCTATGACCTGCTTTCACTTTGAAAAAAACAGAACTTAATTTCCTTGAAATTCTGGCTTGAAGAAGGTTTCTGATGCTGACATCTCTGGAATGGTACCACTGAAAATACCAACAACACCACTTTACCTCTTCCTAGGGTGTTCAACATGAGGCCATGCTGATGAGTAAGGAGGCCACTTCATGTTCTCACCTGAATTCACACAATAACCACAGAAGCAGGTAAAACACAGACCTGAGGTATAAGAACAGCTGCATGGTACATGCAAAGAGGAGGCATAAAATCCACCAAAGCAAGTCAACACCTGTAGATCAAAAAAAATGGAGCAGCTCTTTGTCACACACACTGGTGGCAGACACTATTCAGTCAACTGCAATCTCTCAAGGTACAACAGTCAAACAGATCAGCTGACAGTGATAAATTATGCCTAAAGCAGCAGCCTCACTGACATCTAATGAGGCCTTTCAAGTTTTTTACACAGCCATGACTTCTTGCTCCTTCTCCCCCACCTCTGGCTCACAAATTATTTACTTGTCTTTAGCTCAGAGTTCCGAAGTGTAACAAGAGATTCAACACATACACAATAAAGAATAGCTGATTTAAGAATTACAACGTGTGGCTGAGCAAAACGTTTACCAATAGCTAGAAGTACATTTAGACAAATTAAGAATTCCTGGAGCAAAGCCAGGCTACAGCCACCTGGACTGGTTGTAAATGTAAAAAACCTAAAACACTTAGGTTAACACAAACATCTGGTGATCTGCAAAGGCAAGGAATTCAGCAGGAGAATACTCTACTGGTTGAACTAAGTAATGACTGATTGAAAGGAAAGGAAACAGATGATAAATGAGAACATGTCCTCTTCTTTATCTTTCCTTCTATAGTATCCTTTGATGTTCCAGGGAAGGTTATGATGTGGGTTTTTAAATTAATTTCTTACTTTGTACAAGATCAAATAGACTATTTTTATGCAGTTCAAACATGGAGCAAGGAATAATTAAGACTATTGTCTGTGAGAAAAAGGTCATTTTGTTTCTCAAGTGCCCATCAACTGTCAGATCTGTTACAAACATTGCAGGAGCAATTAAGTCACCCTGGGAGCTCCTGGTTGTTTAATGAAGCACAAAGCTAGAGATAGAATGAAATGCAACTGAAGTGCTGTGCTTTTTTCTGAACCCAGCACATTGTTGATATCTTCCATAAAATGAAATTATAAACTCAGCACATTTGTACTTGCAAGTACAAATTGCTTTTCTTTTTATCAGGAAAAGCATTGCTTTAGAATATTAAAGTACATTGATGCCTGAAACTGTACAGCAGCCTTTCCATCTGCCTTATGGATGTCATCCTAGATTTTCATAGTGGTAGTCTCTTTCTAGCAGGATCCTCAACTCTCTGACATGAAAAAAAAAAAAAAAAAAGGCACCTCATGACATTTGTCAGCAGTTTCTACAGTACAATATTCAGGAACTACTGATAACAGGTCCTCTGTCAGCCTTGCAGGTTTGCATTCCAACAGGGCACCTCAGTGAGCTAGAAGAACTCCACATTGCATTCTGTTCTAGGATCATCCAATTTCCTTATTAGTATGGGCTGCTGGAGCACAAACAGCTTATCTCTGATACAGACCAGGCAACTTGTATTGCTACAACTGGTCCTCTTCTAGAATTTACAGCTGGGCAATTTTCCAGCCTCTGTAGGTAGAAAAGGTGTGTTTAACAGCTGAAAAGATTGCTCCACATCAGGAGATACCTAAAAAGCTTTCACAGATTCTTAGGCAGACTTCTGAGTTCTCCAGGACAAAGAATTTTGATCAAAATAAAGCCTAGTAACCATGGGCTCAATCAGGTACATTCTAAGCTGCATAACTGTGAAAGCAATGAGCATTGAAAATGATCTTTTTTACAATTTTTCAGTGTTGATTTTGGAGTATAGATGATTTCACTTGAACTACTGCCACTACATGCCTTGAGACTTGTCACAGAAAGCAGATTATTCCATTCAATTGCCTCCTGCTACCCATTTGATTTTTGGATTAAAAGATTGAAACAAAGGCTAGTAATTTACTATGGCTTACACATTATGCCCTGAGGTTTCTAAAGAAAGAAAGAGAACCTTTAGCACTCAGTTTTATGACCTATGCATTTAGAAAAGTGTGGCTGTGAAACTCAAAGTAGATGATGAATATTTGAAGGAAACTAGAAACACTAGGGGCAATCCTGGTCCCCAGTAAAGTCCTGGAAAAATCTGCATTGAGTTCACTGGAATTTGGTTTCTTGCTTGAAACTTAATATGTGATGGTCTTGATATGCATTTTGAGCTTTATTTGTGATGTCAACATTGATGCAAGTCCAATATCCTGCCTACTGCTGACTACTGATTCAGCTGCCCTTAAGAGCTTTTCACATTAAAAAATGCAGTGATCCCACCCTCTGTAATACACAATCTCAAAGCAACACACTCTCTATATTAAAGATGGAGAAATGTCAAACTCTTTGTCATTTCTGGAAGTTTAAACTATCCTAAATAGGTTTAGTATTAAAAACAAAACAATTTTGTAGTAAAACAGATCTAGAGGTAAATTAATTTAAGCTGTGGGTTGAAATGCACTGAAATTCTTTGTGAAGTTTCAAAATTAAAAAGATAAAATTATAACAGTGCTACATTTGTACAATGCTGTTTGTTTTTTCCTTTTAGAAACATCACCAAATACTTCAGCTTCAGTTTAGATTAATCACTTGTCATGTTTTTGGCCTCTCTGTTTTGGCAGGTGCACGAAAAACAAGTATAGTGTTTGTGTCTTCACTCCTAAAGCCTCCTAAGAGTTAAAGTTAGAGGTGGGGGGCTTTTTCCAGTATTTTTCAGAACGGCTGCTTCTTCTGTGTGCACCCTTCATACTAGAACTTAATTACACAGATAAGCTATAAAACTTTGGAAAAAGTAACTCAGTGAAAATGCTGGCTGAGTGTTGCGTGATTAGAGTCACAATTCTGTACTGGTGACAGGATAGATTATAGAAGAATATAGGCTAAGTAATTAACTTAGCTGCTTTACTTCTTTTCAAACTACTAATATTTGCTGTTATGTTGCTGTTCTTATGTAGCTGAGATTTGACACTGCTGTAAAACCAATGAAATTCCTGCCCCACATAGTTTATAATCTAATTAACTGGAAAACATCAGGTGCTGGTTTTACTGGCCACTCTTGAGGCTCTTATTAACTTCAGTAGCAGAAAGGTAATAGGCACAAACCTGATCAGAACTGGTGTGCAAGTATTTGTAAGGGCCAAAAGAAATGCATCCCCCTATAAAAAAGTCAAGTTCCTGTCTCAGAGATATTGAGTTGTTACAACAGAAAATAAATTTGATCTATAACTTCTCTCTTCCACAGGTGGCTTCACTGAGTTTGCTTCCCACCCTTGGGTCATAACCTTTCATGTGGACTCCAGAGTAACCCAAGGGCACTGGGGGATAGGCAGCAGGAGAAGAAAGCACAGGGTTAGCACCAGACCATAAACACATCAGAGAGTGTCACACAGCTGGACTATCTTGGCTCTCCCTCCCATACGATTTCATTAGGCTCGTGCCTATCCCAAGACCTTCTGTGTGGTTAACGCTGCTGACCAGCCCAGAAAGAGATCATGGGAGCACACAAGGCTGGCAGACACTCATAAAGTCTGCACTAGGGACACTAATAAACAGAAACACAGAAGGAAGGCATGTGACAGAATTTATGACATATTTATGGCATATGACATACTTTAAAAAAGGATCCGTGATTTGCACAGGTAGAGAAGTTATGCATGGCACGGGCTGGGCACTGGAAGTGATGAAATGAGATAAATGCTTACATGGAAAGACAGACTAGTGTGGATTCCTTAGGGAATGGGGAAATTAGGAGGCAATGCTATAAGTAGTTCCACTACTTTCCAAGGCAAAACCTGTCAAATACAGTATTTGTTGTGCATGCATCAGGATACCTTCCCTGTGTTCTATACTGAATCTGGGCAATTCTGCTCACATTGTCGACTTTAGTCCTCTCCATCTCTTGGCTGGGAGTAGTTCCAGGAGGCAGCCAAGCCCAGTTCTAAAGCCACATACATTGGATTACCAGGTATGAATACCTGAAATCTGTTTGACAGTCATTCTCCAACCTCAGAGAGCTTCCAGGTCTGGGTCATTTGCACTAAGATTTAATTCCAGATCCCTACAGCTACTGCAACTTTTGCTGACCTGAGTAGTAAATGCCAGGAGCCTTCCTTGGTTCTCCATTAGTTATACCAGAACCTTCTCAAGGCCTAAGTCCCATATAATGAGCGGACATCAGGCACTTGAGTAAAAACTGGGCCAATTGCCCTGCAAAAGCAGAAGTTCAAACAATCCTCTCAGACTGCAGCAAGGACTCCTCCATGTTGAATTCTAAGATTTGTTACTCTTCTAATGTCTCATCACAAATCCACTGCCACAAATCCACATGCCCATCTTCCAGCAACCCTGTCTTCAATGGTAATCCAATTTATCCACATACACCATGTATTTTTTAACCTTTTTTTATCTTCTACTCTTCTTCCAGACTGATTTTCCTAACTTTTCTCTCTTCCCAGCTTCTTTCCCAAAAAAGCAGTCATCATTGGTATATGCATTATTTCCCCCCACCCCACAGAGATAGAAGCAATATGAAATGTCAGACTGACAAGAACACTTTCCATTAAAGAGAAAGAGCAAAGAAACAAGCACTGGCCTGGTATTTTGTATAAATCATTTTCTTTCCTATACAATAGGAGTATGAGAATGGGCATGCTGTCTTAAATACAAAGCCTAGAAGTTTAGGAGTTGCACAACAACAAATAAAATAACATCAAAAAAACCCAAACCACTTTACCACTGCTTATCAACATCAACACTGTCGTAGCCACAGTAAATCCAGTATACCATTTTCTCAGCCTTGCTGCCTGATGTTTCTTTCTACGGCTTACTATGTCTTTAATTAGAGAACATAATTCTTTGTGTTTTCACTTTTACAGGAAATTGCTTGGCTCCTCGAAGACTGACTAAATGACAGTAATAACAAACCAACTGATCCTCTGTAACAGGAATTGCAGAGAAACCCTGTTGACTCAAACACACAAGAGTGAAAGTATATAACTGATTTGAAAGGAACAAACTGTTCTGTGGAGGAAATACTGATGAGAATTGTTCTTTCTGTGAATAATTTTTAAATTGAGGATCAAAAAAATCCTGCTAATTTGCAACCCCGCTGTTGTTGGAAAGAGAGATCTGTTGGAGAATGCAAGCAAAAGAAAGTGGATAGAGCTGGCTTTATCAGATGAATGGAAGGGGGAGTCTCTGAAGTCTCACCTCTGGACTTGTTTGCTCTAACTTATGCTTTTTTGTCCACTGAACCTGAAATCAAATTCTTTACCCTTCTGATTATAATTTCACCTTTTATGGATGAGTTCCACTCATTCTAAATTACAGGTTACATCCAGTGATACTGAATGGGATTAATTCATGGTTTGAAACCAAGGTCTGGTCTATATAGAGATGACTTCAGTGTGTACCACAGTCTAAATTCCCATTCCTGCCAGAAGCTGTTGTGCAATTGTTTTATTTCCCTTCTTAAATATGTTACCCCAGAGGTGCTACCACCATTGTTATTGGGCTTGGCCTTGGCCAGCAGCAAATCCATCTTGCAGCTGACTGGCATTGGCTCTGCTGGACTTCAGGGAAGCTTCTGGCAGCTTCTCACAAAAGCCACTCCTGTGCAGCCCCTGCAACCAAAAGCTTGCCACATAAACTCAGTACGGGAAAAAACACTGAATGGCTTAATAAAAGGGTCATACACAAAGTGGCTTGTATCATGTTTATGGGCAGCAATGAAAATGCACATATTTTAAAGAGAAAGCTCTGTGTGTAGTAAGTACCTCTTTTGTTTGTGGTTTTCTGGTAGTAAAATCATAAAAACACTGCAATTGGCCTTTCTTCAAGCAGCAGGGTGAACCAATGTTTTTTGAAGGCAATCTCTTAAAACGTGAGCAGGGCCTACCAATTTCTCTAGGCAGTGGTGAGACATAAGTGGGTTGCAAATATCTGCAAAGACTAATTCAACACAACTATTTTAAATACATAATTCAAGATAAAAAGAAGTAGCATTTGTAGGTATCTCTCTCTCCACTGACTTGAATGGAAGACTAGAATACTGCTTTCAGAAGATACATACTTCTAAATGGCTAAATGAGATGCAATGAATCCTTTCTTTCTATGTTAAATTTAGCATAGGTACAAAAAAGGGGAAAAGAGAAGGAAGTTTAAGTAGACCTAATACAGTGCACAACAGATTTGGGTTTTTTTCCAGTTTCTATTCAAACATAGATTTTACCCATGGTAAATTAGAATTCTTTGGAAATTCGCCCATAACCTTTAAACTTTTCTGGTTGATGATCTTAATACACAATAAAGGCTTTTTATCAGTAAATTATGTCTGGACAGGAACCAAGCTCTGACTCCTTCCCCACGCCACAACATTTTTGTAAAGTTGAACAAACATATTACACCAAACCCAGGGCACAGAAGTGTAAATACCAGTACGCTATATTAACACAAAACAGTCCAAAAATAAGATACTTCTAGCCAAATTATTTCTGCAATATGCAACAGCTGAAAAATGCAATGTCTTTACCTGGAAAGATACTGTATATTTATAATCTATATTTGATTATGTTTAAAATGGATTATCAGTCTTTTCTTTTTTCCCTCTATGCATTCATGACTAAAAATAAAATAGAACTGTAAGTGGACAGTCTCATTTCAAAAACTTCCCATGACAACTATTAAAAGATCATCATCACATAAGCATATTTGAAGAAATCAGATTACCTGAAAAGGCTTCTGCTATCTGGCATAATCCCTCTTTTCTGCAAAGAAAATGCTGGATTTCTGGAAGTAGGTTTACCTGTATGTAAAAAGAGAAGTTTTAATTAGTTAATTCAAAAAGTGCTCTTTTTTCTTCAATGGAAAATGCCTTCAATGGGTTTGTGTTTAATTTATCAGAGACACCTCATGTGCAAAACTCCCATCAGTGTCAAGAGGAAGTGATGACTTTGCCTTCCCTGCAATGTCAGAATAATGAAGTTAAGGTGTGGACTCTTCCTCCATGTTCATAGCAATGCAAAATTTTAGGCCTATATCTCTGCCTCTGGCTGCTGAGTGTTAACCCTTCCCTGTCCCCTTTTCAGTCTCTGCAGCTTCTCTGTTCTGTGCAGTTACCAACCACTGTCTCTCCCTGCCTGGAAACACCCTGTGCCTCTGGAATTGCTGTGCTTGGGACCAGCAGTGATCTAATGTAGCTCCATCACAGGCAGGCTCTGCAGCAAAACACTGTGCTGCACTTTGGCATGGACATGCCAGCAGCAAGCAATCTTAGTTCAATATTTAAAGTTTTCCTGAGGAATGGGCCATCTGGTTTAAGTCCCTGCTCTGCTGCAGACTTCCTGAGAGAACTTGGACAATTCCTTTGATCACCTTGTGTCTCAGTTATTCATGTGTGACACATCTGGACATTGCAGCATGCTGTCAGGATTATTATACTGCACAGCATTCGAGGCTCAGATATGGTAATATAGGCAGAATGAGAAAAAAGCAGTTTGCAGAAGCCTGGGGTGCTTTATTATCTGAGCATATTCAAAGCATGTATGTTTCTAGCAAACTATAACTGCCATAAAAAATTCACTTTGCATACACTTTGATATGTATCCTGTCCCAGGGAACCCCAGTGTACATGCTCAAAGCTCTGACTTTGTGGACATCAGAGGATTTTTTTATCACCAGAGGCACCTTTTAAATGCAGCTCCATTTCTCTCAGGCCCTCAAGCTGGAGTCAATAATTTAGAGTCTTGCCATTATTGTTATTTTAAGTATTTCTTACTTAAAATATGAGTCAAACTGTATCTGTAGCTTGGTTACATTTTATCCAAGATTACAGTTTATATCACTCACATATTTTTATCAACAGATCAGGTGTTTACATAGAAATTACATATCTAAGTAACCTAAATTGTGCCCACAACATGCACAAGTGAGAAAAAAAAAACAAAAAGCAATCCTGAATATACCAAGATAACTGGTCCTACTGTTGCTTTGGACCATGAGCAAGAAGGTTGCAGTGCCAGAGCAAAGAACTCCCTTGAAGGCCTTGGTCCAGATTGCACATTATCAATTGTAGGAGCACTGTCACTGTTTGGAAAAGTGCCTAAATTATGTTTACAAAGGAGGAATTACATTAGGTGAAACTCAGTGGTGATATAAGATATGAAGCCTAAATTCATCCAACTCTATCTTCTGTCTACACTCTCATTCTGAAATATTGCATGCATTTTCTAATTGTTTCTCACCATTTCTAAATTCTCTTTTCCAATGGGGAAAATTGCTTAAATAATTTCCCTTATAGATAGTTTTGCAGCCAGACATGCAGACTGAGGGTGGCCAAGAATGCGAAAGTTCAAGCTAAAGAAAAGGGAAACTTGACACTGAGTTGTAACAATTTTCAATATTTATACTGAAATACTTACCACAAACTAACATACTATGTTCAAATGAGAAATTGCTTTTGATAACTGGGTATGATATAAAGAATGAAATATTGGTACCTGACAAGTATTACTCAGTAAATAGAAAGCATGAAAAAACTTCATTTTTGCTAAAACATGTTGCTGCAGTATAAAATAAACATTTGATGCTTCTCTTTTTATGAGTGAGGGCTGAAAATCTGGGCTATCCTGTCCTTGCATTCCCACAAAGGATAACATAATAATCTCATACCTTCTGGAAAAGCTCTAGATTATGCAAATCTTCTGTTTGAAAGCAGCCAGTGCCACCATTTTTTCTGGAAGATAAGCAGATGAAAAGATCCCATGGGTTCATACCACCTATCCAGAAAGAAAATAAGCACTTTGAGAAAGAAGATATCATGCAATTCTTATTTGTATAAAAAATACTTAGAGTGATATTCTGAAGAACAGCAAACTGTTGGAGAGCTAATTACATGAGCAGCTACAGGTGGCAGAAAGAAAAAAGACATATCTGCCACCACAGTTCAAGATTTGGAATTATATTTAGATGTTTCACAGTGGGCATTCCCTGTTCTATCTGCCTACTGATGTCCAAACCCTGCTGCTTGACCTGTTTAATATTCAGAAATTAAAAAGTTTGGTAACATGATGCTGCTTGAAGTTGTTCTTTTTTTTTCTGAACTCCTCAACATGCATGCTTATAACATGTATCCAGTACATGCAATGTGAGCTTCTGAGGGGTTTCTTTAATGGCAAGTAAATTTTACAGGAAGCATTACTCTTCATGCCATTGCAAACAACAGGAATTTTGGTGTAGTGGATTCCTAAATATTAAACACCAGGCTGCCAGAGCTAGAACTGGTGTACAAGTGGGAATTAGATTGCAAGCTTCCGAGCTAGTGTGATGCTTCCTTCCTGGGGCAAAGCTGACCTGAAGATACAAACAGGCCTTGAACTTGCTCATATCTCAGCATGTGATACGGTGTGGAAATGCCACTGTTGCTTCAAATAACCTTGGTCACATGGTCATTTGTTTTCTTCTGTATACAGCCTTTGTTATCTGGACCAGTTAGAGGTGGTGGCAGCTCACAACAGAATTATTACATTTGTTGAGGACACCATAAATATGTTCAATAAAGGGTAAATTATTTCATTGACAGGAAGACAATCAGTAATAATGAACTTACAAACAGAAAGGGCAGTCAGAAAAGCAGTACACCATCCAAGGGTACAGAACCAGGTCACAAAGCTCTCTGGAAAATAGCTATTTCAGGGACTGGTTGGCTCTTTTCCCCAGAGTTGGGAAGATTACATGTATTTTATTCCATTTTGTGCTATCCATCTGTGATACCCTCTTAATTTTATTAGATTACCCCCTTAATTTTGTCCCACAGATGGCCTGCAGAGGTATTTATTTTATTTATTTCCTTTCTTTCTTTCTTTCTCCAAAATGTATTTTTTTCCTATCCCAATCATGATTACAAATGTCAAGCAAGGTAAAAATTCCACTTAAGGAGATTTAACACTCAATTTATGTTAAGTACAGTAATGAACTGATTGTGTGGAATGGATCCAGGACTATGAAAGTAACTATCACTTTTTTATGTTTATAAGCAGTGTGACAAAGCTGAAGAGATCAATTTTCAGTTACGCTGCATTTATTACACTAACAAGTCCTTCAATTTCACATTATGAGAACCAGTATTATGGCATAAAAGTAATTAGGGTATATGAAATTTAGGCAAGACAGATTCACTACATGCTTCTTTGTAAAAGAAACAACAACAAAAAACCCTGCAGGTAGATAAAAATGTCACAGATAGCAAACAAACAAAACATTAAAGAAATGTACAAGCAAATACCTCACTTTAGTGGAAAAGTTTGGCAGTGCTAACAACCTACTCAATGACCTCACCAGCTATGTAATTATCAGATAAGCAAGATGTTATGCCTCTGACTAGTAAACACCTTTGAATAAATCATTATAATTACACATAAATCACAATGCCTAGTTTGTGCAAATTGAAACGAGAGCTGGAGGGAACTCCATTTCTCAGAAGCAGTTCATTTCCTTCCCTTGTTTATTATGACACATCCTGCCCTGGGAAGAACTTGATCCCTGACTCCAGAGGATATGCAAAACTGTGTATTTGCCCTTAGGATACATCAGAGTGATCAATATGAATGCACCTAAGAGTAGAAAAGGAAAATGTACCCTCAGATCTGGTGTGCTTCTGAGCCAGTGCCCAGGAAGTAAAACAGTTCAGGAGAGCTTGAATGCCTGCCATTACTTGTGCTTTCTATTCAGAGTCATTAAACCTCGAGCCAGTTATTTCAGTACAGAACAATCAGAACTGAAACATGTCTATTTATAGAAGTCAGGAGACTTCCTATTAGAAAAACAGTGTACACCTAGTGCTGTCTCTCAGATTCAGAGTGACAGAGCAGTGTGACTTCTACTTAAATGTATTGAGATATTCCTCATAATCTATACCTGAAAAAACATTATTGGAATACAAAAACAAGAGTCATTGGTTACAACAGCTATTTAGTTCTAGAATAGGCTCCTCTAGGAATCCATCTTGCCTCAAATTTGCCCACGTCACTCCTTACCGAGCTTAACCTTTTGTGGAAAATGAACATCTATGATCAGGAAACCAACAGTCTGTCTTCCTTCTGCACATTTAATAATAGAAGAACTATATCTCAGGAAAAAAAAAATGCTACTGTGATTAGTATTCCAACAACATCACATGGGCTATGCAAAGGAGCAAAGATCCCTTTCACAGAATTTACTGTTAAATAAATTAAAGCTAGATACATGTGAGCTAAAACATTCTACAATAAAGGACAAAGAACAAAAGTGGCATTAATAATAAACACCATCTGCACAGAAGGATTCATGTTTCATAATATTTCTAGAGATTTTATTAAGAAGCTTTAATAAAGTCAATAATATTCCATTTTCAATGTACAGAGTTTTGCTGCTTTCCTGCAGACTTCAGACCAGAAGCAGGCTTTTACAGGACATTTGAGGGGGAAGGTTAAAAAGAATGCTTCATATCTGAAAAATTTAATTGCTAGATATTTGAATGAAGCTTTTCCCACAGAATGAACTTTGTCTCTAGTTATGGAAATCCTGTTTGCTTTATCCAGCAAACCAGTGGAGCTCAGCACACAGAAGCTGTAGATAAGTTAGATAACATGAAATCACACCTCATGGAGATACTCTCTACTCCTTGCATTATTTTGCACTTGGACAAGTAAAAGAGTGGTAACAAGATGAGAATTTGCAATTGCATGTTCATCTGCTCTTTGAATGTCTTTTCAAATCAAGACAGTTTAGTCCAGCCTGTTAATTAAGGCCTTGCATACATAAGGAATGCTTATCTGCAGAATTATATCCAACTATGCAGGCAAAGTGAGCTTTAGGTGGACACATCTTGGCAGCATGAAGCTTTTATTCACCTTTCTTTTGCTCGCTCTTAGCCTCTCCTCTCCTGCAGTCTTTGTAGCCCTCATCCAGTCCCATCTCAAAAAGTATTTGTACATGCAATGTGTATCTCATGTTTACCTAAGAATATCAACCCAAGTTTCTACTTCTATTAGTAGAAGTACAGCATAATTTGATTGAAATCTGGTGTGATCACCTTTTACTCTGAATGAGTCAAAGAACATGCTATTCAATTCAGAGAGCAATAACTTCCAACTGAATTTTGATGTTAAATACAAATTCAAATTTTCAATGAGATAGCACTGTTTTCATTGGCTTTGACACTGATTTGTCATTTGAAATAATTGAAACAGCTAATGTGGAAAAATAATTTAAAAGATAATAGTCTAGGGAGAAAAGCAAACATGCTTTTTAGCAGCAGAGGAAATAGTAATGCAGACACCAATAAAAACATTTCGCTTTTTCTGTATAATATTCTGCAGAGAGTTTTGTATTCTGATATATTAGACCAAAGTTAACAGAAACCAAATAAGAACTGTAGGATTTAATGTTGTTTCAGATAAACATCAAGAATTTCTGAAGGTGATTTCTCAAGTAAAGTGATTTTATTCCAGGTTTTGAAATGATTACATTCTCCCCATGACCTATGGCATTGAAGGCTACATTTTGCAGGAAAACTGTTGGATGCATAGAACTCTGTAATTTTAATCTCTCAGGTGTATATTATTTAATTTAATCAAATTACTAAGTTTAATGTTATTACTATAGGCTGAAATTTCATTTTGCAGTATTAAGGTTTCCATCCTGAAATTTGAAATGAAAAAACTTGGAAAATCAAATAAAATTTTCATCTTCCATGTTCATGTTCCTGTATTTCATTCATTCTGGGAAATAAAAAAAAAATTAAAAAGCCACTTGGATTTGTTTTTATTTTAATACCAAGTCAATCTGCAATTTTGCATTTGCTCACACCACTATCTTGAAATTAATCAGTTTATGAGCGCTAGAGAAAAAGAAGGCAACAAGAAACAGCCAGCATTTGTCAAGAGCATATTACATAAAAGTGGTCTCCTGTTTTCTGACAGAGTAACTGATCTAGTAACAGAAATCAGAGTAACCGATTTAGTGAACAAAGCAAATATTAGCAATGAGACAATCTGACTTTATTAAGTCTTTAGACCTTGCTTCCACATAACACACCTCTGAGGTGATTGCACAGCTATTTGAAAAAATGAAGTCTAACCACCTATCAAAGTGGATTCTTTTTGGAGCAGAACCTCAAAAGGTACTCCATTGTACATTCAGTTCTAATCAAATTTTTCAGAAACAAATTGAATAATGGAATAATAAATGCATTTATAAATAGCAAGGGATACCAAGATGAAAAGAAGCATAAGGACTTTGTGAAGCATGGTCAGAATTCAAAATAATTCTAATAATTGGTCCAAATTCAATCCAAGTGAATTCAAAACAAGTTAAAAGTGCCATAGTTCATAAGATGAAATCAAATGGAGAGGTACAAATTACAATAGAGCACTACTGCAGAGAAGGACCAAATTTATGAACTGCATATGTACTAACAATACAATATTGTTGCCAAAGGAGAAAGACCAAAACAACCAACAAAGTAAATATAAATAACTTTTCAGCTGTTGGCAAGTATTTATTGATGCTGAAAGAGTTGAATCCCCTCCCTTAAAATTTCAGTTTTAATTTATTCCATGCCAATTCCCCATAGAATTCTAAATAGCCCTGCAGATATCAAGAATTGTAACCAATCCTGTTTATGAGGATTACAGTGATAACAATGGTCAGGGGTTAATCCTTCTCCTTCATTTTGTGTCAGTCATATCTTTCCAGTAACACTGTTCCTAGATTTCTGTAGAGGGTTAGAAAAAGAAGA